GCCGTTCCGTGACCTTTCGAAGTCGTCTGTGCCGATCAGCGAGGCCTGCCAGATCTGAATTCTAGCACGCGACTTGCACGATTGTTTTCGGGTTTGGTGCTTGGTTTAACTTGTGAGTGGTTTAGGGTTAGGTAGGGCTTATAAGGCTTCTAAGGCTTGCAGGGTTTATCATGGCTTAAAAGGGTTTAGGCTCTTAGCTTTCTGAGGTGTGGGGCTTTTGGGCTTCCGGGTGTATGCATATGCACCTGCATATATTATATATATATATATATATATTGTATACATATATTCTATATAATATATATATATATATATATATGTGTGTGTGTGTGTGTCTGCATCTACCCTTCCTCTCTCTCTCTCTCTCCCTCTCTCCCTTTCTCCCTCTCTCTCCCTCCCTCTTTCCATATATATATATATATATAGACAGAGAGATGGGTACTTTATCTTTATATATATATAAGCATATATCTATATATAGGTATATATCATAATATGCATTAACATGTGTATACATAGAATACATAGAATATATATATATATATATATATATATATATAGAAATAGATACATGAAAGCATATCCTGTGCCACCGGAGGCCGACACCCAGCCCATCGACATACTTTCAGTGGAGGCTGAGATTCCGGAGGACCCGATCTACGAAACCGGCACTCCCGAGAAGTTTGCTGACAGCCATGCCAAGACTCAGCCCTTGCCGGGTCAGGCGGAGGAGGCTCGGGTACATGTTCATGTGCATGCATGGTATCATGAGGGGCTTTACATGTGCATGTTCATGTTCATGTGCATGCATGCTATCATGAGGGACTTTACATGTCGATCTGTCTTGCATGTGCATGTGTCAAATGCGAGAGTCACCCATAGTAACATTTCAGGGTCCACAGTTCTTTATGTTGCCCTCTATACCCTAGCCAGGTGGCTCCACAAGAGCCTGAGGGCGAGGTGGTTGAAACCACCCCGGCTATGCAAAGGGAGTTTCGGGCTCAGCAGCGCGAAGCAAGGGCTGCTGCAAAGGCTGCAAAGGGGAAGGGGCGAGGAAGGGGAACCGGGAAGGGAAGGGGCCGAGGTGGCCGAGGAAGCAAGGAATCCAAAGCATCGCCCGAGGAGGAGCAGCCACGGAAGGGAAAAGGCAAGGGGAAGAAGCGCAAGGATGCAGCTTCCGACGGTGATGACTCCAAGAAGGATGCTCCTGCCCCGAAGAAGAAGCCTCGCAAGACCAACGACGAGGAGGGTGATCCCGCTCCGAAGAAGAAGCCTCGCAAGACCAACGACGAGGAGTGTGATCCCGCCCCGAAGAAGCCTCGCAAGACCGACGAGGAGTGTGATCCCGCCCCGAAGAAGAAGCCTCGCAAGACCGACGACGAGTGTGATCCCGCCCCGAAGAAGAAGCCTCGCAAGACCGACGAGAAGGACGATCCCGCCCCGAAGAAGAATCCTCGCAAGACCGACGAGGACGACAAGGACGATCCCGCCCCGAAGAAGAAGAAGCCTCGCAAGAGCGACCAGGAGCCTGATCCCGCCCCGAAGAAGAAGCCTCGCAAGCCCGACGCCAGCAAGGACGAGCAAGAGCCCAAGACATCCACAAAGGGCGGCGAGCCCACGGATGATTTGGTGCTCGGGTGTCCAAAATGCCGCCGTAGAACGGATGGCTGTGCACAGTGCCAAAATCCCGCCTACAAGGGATCGAGGGGACCTTTGCCGCCTAAGTGAGCTCCGGATGGCATGGCGATGGCATCTTACAAGTGATATCATGAGATCCTTTATACACGTGCCTGCTCCTGAATGGTGGCCTGACCTACCATGACCACGCTTTTGTGATGTTTAGCTCCCCCACGGGAATCGGGAATCATGCTTAATTCATGAATCCTACACATGTGAGCTTCTTTCAAAGCCGAAGTGCTGAAGAGTTGTGTGCAGGCAGTGGAAAACTCATGCAAGATTTTGCCTGCTGCTGCATGTCCATGTTATACATTGTTACATGTCTTCTCATGTTCGCACATGCAGACTCTCGGGGTTCATGCTCATGTTGTGCAACCCCCTCGCAGGTATGTGCTGACCTATGAGTGCCAAGTTTTTACTTCGACAACAAGGTGTCAAGCGGAAAGCGCCAGCTTCGTCAAGTGCGCCCCCAGCTGGTACGTAGCATACGCAGGAGCACTTCAGTTGCAGGTTCATGCAAGAGTTGTGCATGCCAGTTGTTATCCATGGTTTTGTGCATGAACATGTCAATCATTTCCCATGCATGCTGTGCAATAATTGCAGAACATATGGAACTGCAGCTGGCCGGCTCATGTGTGCAGCTCTGATGCTGTGTGATTTTAACATGGCGCCATGTCTTGTGGAGTCGGAACTCCAAACGCTGCTGCTTGCACTGTGGAAACTTAATGCTCCAGCTGTGGCTCGCTTGCAATAGGAATTGTTGACTTGTGCATATTTATGTGTATATACATACACATCTAGAGTAGGCATACCCTTGCAAACTCCGTGTTTGTGTGTCTGTGATCCCCCGATTGAAAGTCTAGCTTACGACCACAAGTGCATGAAAGTCGACTGTATCTAAACTTTATCACGTATATGTTCATATATTCTCTATATATATATATATATATATACATATATTAATATATGTACAGAAGCTTCACGAGTTGCACGCTGTATACAAACATGCATATATATATATATATATATATATATAGAGTTGTAGTAGACATGCATATATATATATATGTAGACACACATAATGATAATGTGTATGTTTTATACACATGCATTCATGCGCTACAGATTCCCGCTGACTTGCTCAGTCCTGATGACACATGCACCTGCCAATCCTCTAGGTGCTGATGTATTGTGTGGTTTTGGCTGCCTACACCGACGTCGGATCCCACAAGGTTCGCCAACAATAGATTGCATGTTTATGTCTCTGCCAGCAGGATGTTAGTGGTTCTTCACATAGAATTTAGCTACATAACAACTATACTCCTCCAGGAAGGCTACGACAGCATCGAGTGCTTTGCTGGTTCGGCGAAGCTGACCTGGTGTTTGAGACAGGCCGGGTACCGGGCCACTGCTGTAGATATCGAATCTTGGGGAGACTGGCATGCTGATCGCTGTGCTCGTGGCCATCGGAAGCTGAAGAACAATCCTTTAGACTTTTTGCAACCCTCGGGATTTGCGTCCTCTTGCTGCAAATATAGCATTTCAATCATGAGTGCATAGTGTCATGTACCATGTCGAGTCTAGTGTGCCGGCATGCATTCGATCGATCGAGGTTGCTCTTGCTGGCCATTCTGAGATCGCCAAGTTCAGTGGCTGTGTTTTTCGGCATGGTTTGCAGCTCCTGGGTTCTGATCTCACGAAACAGCACGAAGCGGTCCTTCTGGCGACCGCTCGGAGATGCTTGTGTTAAGGGAGTAGCTGCTTCGAACATCATGGCATCCAGGTGCATGGTAAGTTCATGCATGTCATGAAATCATGTAGTGCACATGCATGTTAGACATGGCCCCGGCATCATATCCCTTCCCTGAAGGATGGCACTCCTGGCATTGGTTATCCAGGCAAAGGGGGGCACGATAACAATCGAGCAACCTGCTTCCTCTATCCTCATGAGGCATCCGCGCTGCCAGTGGTTGCTTAAGCGTGTTCGCCTTTGGAGGCAGAGGTTCTGGATGTCTGTATATGGGGCTCCAACACCGAAAAGAACCTCACTTTGGGCCAACAAGCGATCCGTGTGTATGTTTGCAACACCTATATTGTCGAAGGACAGACCTCCTACTGGTTTCCGATTGGTTCGTCGCCACACTGACAAAAACAATAAGAAATGCTTCACTGGGAAGAAGGCAGAGCTCCGAAACTCCGGGCCCCACGGCTGAAACACTATGATGTATCATGCATACACCGATAACAACTATAGAGTAGATGACTTGTGTTATATGTTAACTGTATATGATCCTACAACTTCTATAATTATGTGTGTAGCTGTGTATATATGTATGTACACGCATGTACATATATATATATATGTATATATACATGTAGATATAGACATCTACAGTCTTATACATGATATACATATGCGGTGTGATAATGCAAATAAACAGTTACAGAATCACCATTAAAAATATACATATATATATATTAAAATAAGTATAAAATATAAATATAAATATGTATATATATATATATATATAATGTATATAACAATCAATCTGCATATATATATATATATATATGTATGTATATATGTATAACATATATATATATATATCCAAGGATCTACCCACTTGGCTTCGGAGTACAGTTCGCCAAGATTTTCGATGCTCTCATCCAGGACCAGTCTGAGTGCCGACTTGCGGAGCAGGCTTGGGATCGGCTTGGGGTCGGGTTGCTTGCCCTTTGACTATTTCAGAAAGGAAATTGAAAGCCCCGGTGTTCTCCAGGTGCCAGCCGACGTGATCCTGCCTGAGCACATTCACGCTCGTCTTGGAACGGACGACACCTGGCCAGATGCGGGGATGATGGATGTTCTCCTTTACCTTAAAACAAGCTCAAAGTTGCAGCTTCCGGAAGCCTGGGATTACGATTTGGGCTCTATCTAGGCAGTTTCACTTGCAACTTTACCGAAAGTTGCAGGCGCAGAAGTGGCGAGGAAATCGCGCAAAGTTGCAAGGAAAAGCCACGCAGTTGCGCATCTCAAAAAACGCTTGCAACTTTCGCAAAAATTCGTGCTCTGTGTTGATCAGCACAGGTGCTAAGTTGCACAAAAATGATCCAACTTGCGGCATAGCTCATGATGCCCTTGCAGTCGCAGGGTATGCATGCATGCATGGTTGATATCTCATGAGTAGACATGGCATGCCTGTTTCATGTGCACGATCCTCTCTCAATGCTTGTCCTGGCTCAACCAGGATTTTGTGTTTCATAGACGTTTCAGGTCGATCTTGAGGATGGCCTCGCATAGTTCTGCGACCCTTCAACAGGGGATGTCGTTCATGTCAGATGTGGCTGCAGGCCTTGTGCCCTGCAAGCTTGAAGATTCCGAATTGGAACAGAAGATTAAGGACTGCATGGAGTGATGCACATGTGCATGTCATGACATGACATGACATGACTGCACGATTTAGGGATGCATGCATGTCCAGTGTAAGACGTCACGTCCTATCATGCCAGCCAGGATGCAGAGGCCTACTTGGCGGGCCTGAGGAAACAGCAGGCTGAAGACTCCCCGTCACCACTGTCAGAAGCTGTGCAAACTGCGTCACCCAAGCTTACCAAAGCATGTGATGTAACGCCAGAGAAGATATCCCCTCCAAAGCCCGACGAAGTGCAAAGCCCGGCCCCAGCAGCCTCCTGCAGCCCCCAGCAAGTGGAGCCAACGCAAGTGGATCCGTACTTGGATACAGCCTCGGATGGCCCAGCTATCCAGACCACTCCAGAACGTTACACTGCGACGCTGGCCAGCCTGGGGTTAGATCGGGAAGTGGAGGAAACTGGATCCCTCACACCAACTGAAATGGAGGTCGACGAGGCTGGCTTGTGGAAGACATATGCACATGTAAGCCATGGAGATCTTCATGAGAGATATAGGCTGGCAAGAAGAACCATGGCATACATGTTCATGCATCCTCACGTTTACTCCTGCAGCAACATATGCATGTGTATTGCATGCTTCGTACTTGGGTTGCTCCAAAGCAAGAATCCTTTGTGTCACACTCATGACACAAGCGTATAGATTGTATTTTATGTATACATATATATATATATGTGTATATATATGTATATATATATAATAATAATAGAATAATAATAGTATGTGATCATATATTATATGTGTGTATATATATATATATATATGCATGACATACATACACAGCATTCCTGCATTAATGCATTCACACAAGCATGCTTGCATGCCTGCATACATACATGCATAATGTTTTACATATATATGCATACATACAAGAGCTGTATCAGCATACATGCACGACACAGAAGATGAACAGAAACATTCTCTATTATATATATATATGTGTGTGTGTATATATGTATGCATATATGTATATATATATATATATATATATATATATGAAGATACCTGTTTTGATGGCTGTGCATGTATAGTCCGTTAAACATGAGTATGAACATTTTATATTATATATATATTACATTATATTATATTATGGGGCAGATGCTTTTCTTTATTATGATAAATGGTCTATACATGTTGTTCCTTGCCCTACAGGAACTGCCTGCCGGACCTGCTGCACCTGAACCTTCGATGCAACATCTGCCAGCATCGAGCCCTGCAAAGACCCGCAACTCAACCCCACCACGCCCGAAGGCAGCGAGCCCGAAAGCGCCGTGTGTGAAGCCGAGCGAAGCAGCAGTCCGTTCCAAGTCCTGCCCAGCAACACCCAGAAAGTCGAGTTCGATTGCAGCAGCACCGCCACCCGCGAAGTCCAGCAGCAAAGCAGCAAAACCCCAGGAGTCTGCCGAAGCAAGCGAGCCTGCACAGGCTAAGTCAGCAGCGCGACGTGCAAAGTCGAGCCCAGCAGCACCCCGCGACACGTCAAAGACACAAGCAGCCGATGTCGCGGCTGGCCCTTCAAAGCCTCAGAGTGCCCCGCCTCCGTCCAGCCCCCGAGGAGATCCTTCAAAGAGAAGCGGCGACATGCTGCCGCCGCACGGCACTCCCAAGCGGCCACGTGTGGACGCCGAGCCAAGCCCACTCAAGCCACGAAGCTTGCAGAGTGACTTCGAGGCAGGGTGGTCCGATTTGGTGGTGGTGGGGGGGCCGGGGGGGGGGGGGAATACATGTATCATCATTTGTTTCTCACTGCTAATGGTTCTCGTACACAAGGCAAGTATCACCTATAGCTTCTGATTTGATTTCTATACATATATATATGTGTATATATATATGTATATATAATATTACATTATACTATAATATAATGTATATATCACTATATACGAAGTTCCAGACTTCAGTAATATACACATATATATGTATATATATATATATATATATACCACACACACATGCTATGAGTCGCCTCAGTTAGATGTGACTTTGTGCCGTGTGCACGATAGATGTTAAACCGTTAATTTTGATCCAAGCATAACAGCATAACTATATAGCAGTTCCGCTCGCAGATAGCAATCGAAACACAGTTATGCATACCTCAGATCAATGCACACGAACATATATGTCTCCTATCATGCATCTGTGCACATACAGACAAGAACTTTAGAGACACATATGATTTTGTTTCATGTGGTTACATCTGCTTGCTGGTGTGTGCACATCTCTGGGTACGTGTATATAGCTGTCCTTGCATGATATTCAGCGAAGTATGAAACTGTGTTAGCACATATTGTATATATTATATACACGGCATATATATTATATGTATATATATATATACATATATATATATACATATATATATATATATGTATGCACACACACTTTTGTAACGGTGTAGTATGTAGTAGCCGCACTTGGCACACGAATGAATACGTGATTGGCCAGGGCACCGACGGCCCTCTTGCGTCGCCTGCCAAGAGTGTTGAGTCTGGTACGCCCAGGAAGAACAAGGCTGGGCACTCTCACTCCGCATATAATATTTTAGTTGACTAGCAGACAGCCATGCTGGCAGGTTCCGAAGATCAAGCTCGCTTTCTCGCCGAATTCGAGATCGATGACCCAAAGTGCCTTGGACGCCACTCTCATGAGGATCTGCAGGAGGAAGACGAACGGTCGCCTGGACGTGCCAGAGGAGGTTCATGCGAAATGGAAGCAGGGTGGAAATTCGCGCCGCTCTTTGCTGAAAGTGCTTATCTCCTGCAAGGGCAAGCCGGACCGCGACATGATCATGACATGACATGCATGCATGGCATCTACAACAATCGAGAAGAGTAGCTCATGTTTTTTTGCATGAGCATGGGGGTTTCTGGCGATAGTCTATACTTTATACCTATTTGCAAATCTGCCTTCAGGAAGCCTTCAAGAAGAAGATCAGCCACCAGTACACGCGCAGCCGCAAAGCTGAGCTCACAGAAAGAACGAAGTTTTACACCGAGCACCAGCTGAGAACTGAGAAGAAGCTCCCCGAGTGTTTCGACTGCACCTATATAGAGTCGATGACAACAACTCTATCATGACAGCAACTACATGCATGTGCCATGTTCATGTCCTGGCTCTCATGGTGGTATTGCTCGTCTCATGATGGTTGGCTCTCATGGTGGTATTGCTCGTCTCATGATGGTTGTTTTCAAGCGCATGCCCTGCTCTAGGTCCAATTGTAGATGCAAACATGTTTCAGGAAGCGGATCAAGGCAATCAAGAAGTACTGCATGAAGAAGGAGAACCGGGCCACTCATGTCAGGCCCCAGCATGCCAGCTACATGTCATGTTCCAGATGTTATGCAGCATGCCATGGCTTTGCATGTTCAGTTCTTGTCATGTATACATGCCATGTATAGGAAGGACAAGTATGAGCCGAAAGATCTTCGCATTCGAGGAAGAGGTTGAGGGTGTGAAGCAGAATGCAGAAAAAGAAGAGTACACAGAGGATACCTTGCTCGCGGAGGGTGAGGTCGATCAGTTGCCCTTGGGGCTGGAGGAACTGGTCGGCTCAGACATATCCGATAAGGATGACGAGTCGGCCGAGCATTCCGAGGACGAGTATGAGCCAAGCGACGCGAAGCGCAGGCAGCCCAAGCGACCCAAGTCGAAAAACGAAGGCTTTGGAGAGGAGCTACCGACCGAAGACCCGTGCTTGCTTGATTTACAGTTCATGTATTACATGTAGGAAATGTACATATATTACTACAGAAGGGAAGGGGGTTTTGTATGTTATTTGTATATATATATATATATATATATATATAGATATTGTATATATAGGGATATATGTTTACATATGCCCGCTCTCCGTGCTGCGACCCCTAAAAAAATTCGTGTGTATATATATATATATATATATATATCGTACATTCTATGGGGTGCCTTTGCAAAATGCATATATATATATATGTATCAACAAATACTGTATAAATATTCATCATGTCGAAGGCAATAACAGGTATAAGCATGCACTTAGGTAGTGCTCATGTTATCCACTCATGCATGTTCCTTATTATTCTTGGAAGCCAATCTACAATACTTCTTGTTTTGCAAATATAGGATCCACATGAGAGCACTACCTAAGGACATCATGGATTGCAAAGATGTGCTGGGCCAGATCCTGATTTCGCAGTCCAAGATGTTGAAGCTTCGCATGGAGCTTGAGCTCTCCGGAGCCCCGGATGCCCAGAAGTGCCAAGCTTAGCACGCATGCATGAGCTGGTTTGTATCACTAGCATGCAGACAACAACACAAGCATGTGCTCATTACATAATATATGTGCTCTGATCTTTCCAAACCTGCAAGGGAGTCCGACAAGATTGCAAAGAAGAGCGAGGAGCTCACCGAGCTACATGATAAAATCGCCGATCTCAAGGCAGACTTCGATGCACACAAGAAGCTGTCCCCCGAGAGCCATGGTGTGCACTCAGACATGAGTTAGCGCATGCCACAGACATGGTCCGTGTTCTACATGTATAAACAGTTGCCTCTGCATCGCTAAGGAAGCAGCGCGATCTGGAAAGCCATCTCCGCAAAGTGGAGAGTGTGTTGGGGGCCCAGGGGCTATTATGAGACTTCTAAGTTAGGCTTGTATGTTGACATTTGCCCGGTGTGCCCTGCCGTGGCTACGAGGTGCAGCCGCTGTGAGATGGAGCGGGAGAAGCTGAAGAAGCTTCTGGGATGAATGATTGGCTTGAAACAATATATATATATATATATATATATATATATTTATTTATATTTATATAATATAATATAATATAATATGATATAATATAATAATAATATATATATATATATATATATATATATATATATATGTATGTATACATATTATATATATATATATATCATTAACCTTACATGGGCGTATAGCTTAGCCTCCACTCGTACTCCAACCGTTCAATAATAGTGAACCTTACCATGTGTGGCTCACTGCATGCATGTGTAGAGCTTGCATTCCCACCATGCACGTGTTTACTGGGTTCTGTGTCTGGGTTGCAATTTTTGTAGTGACACAGCATGTTCATCACATGCATGTAGGCTACCTACCCATGTTTGCAATGTCATGACTCCATGATTAAGTCACGTCAACAAACTCCACAAAGTAATGAACCCCAACATGTCATGTAGTACATGAGCCATGTGGCCGAGGACCATCCTCAAGAAGAAGGCCCTTGTGGGCCCGCCCCCCAAGGAGGAGGAGCAGCCCAAGCCCAAAAAGAAAGCCAAAGCAAAGGCGGCGGCCAAAGGTCGCGGCAAAAAGGCACGCAAGTGAGGCATCATGTTATGGTTGTGACGGTGGGCGTGTCACTGCTGGGGCCCTGGGGAACATAAGGGCCTTTAGATGCAGTGTTTGATCCTACTTTCAAGCCATGCAGGTGTGCATGATACTGGCCAGTCCGTGGCAAAGCTATATGATGGACTATCCCGTCATGAGCAATACGATGGTGTGTGATGTAACATAGGGAGACCTTCACTAGTGTGCAAGCAGTGGACATAGGGCCAGCTTCATGCAAACTTGCCAATCTTTCACGGGATACGTGATGCTACCTTGTGCTGGTCGAAAATCGATGTGCCCTCCATGTGCAATCTTTGCCATGCATGTTATTCTCACCGATGCCCCACGCCTTCATGCTCTGCAGGTACTGGGCAAGGCGCCGCAGAAGAAGCTGCACCTGGGCCAGTGGGCGAGGCAGTTGCTCTGTCCGTGACAAAGGGTGTCGCTTGGACGCTATGCGTCGATCGACTTTTCTTTGTGTCTATTGTTGTATTCGGATGAAAATTTCGACCGCATGGCTGCATGTATGCGTGCATGAACGGGTGCACATGAAACATGATGTGCATGTCCTGCTACACGAACATGAGAGACATGATCATGGCATGAAGTGTCATGTTACTTGCCATGTGTGCATAAAGCTCATGCTCAGGTGAGTCAAGAGGTCGCGACGAGCCTCGTGGCAGCTTTTGCTAAGGAGGTTCGGGCAGCATTCGGAAAAAATGCTGTATCGAAACTTGAATCTGGTCGTCTTATTGAGAAACTTGCCAAAGCTCATGAGACGGGTCATGCAAGTGCGTGTCGTGATCTTCTACGCAATTCTGCTTTGTCTGCATCTATGCCACTTACTACAAAGAAACTCTGTGGTGATCGGGATCATCAAGTTATCTCCCCTGTGGACTATGTGCGAGAGCTTGCAGCCAACAACAAGCTGGAGAACCTGACTGGTGGTGAGCCTCTGAAGAGCACACTCCGAGCCTTTTGGGAGCGATTTCAATATTTGAGACCAGATCACCCGGCACTGGCACACGGGGTTGAGGCCTGCGCCTGCAGTGTCCCGATCCTGCTCTTCGGAGATGAAGGCCGGGCCTTGAAGAAGCGAGCAGCTATGGTGCTGGGCTGGGAGCCTATGTTGGGCTTTGGGTGCATGACACATTGCACAGATGACCCTGAATCGCATCATGGCCACAAGCTCAACTTCGATGGCTCCACATACAAGACTCGGATGCTGTACACCATTATGCACAAGAAGACCTATGGATCCAAGAAGTCCGGCAATAAATACTTGATGTCACTTGTTGATTGCTGGGCGTCGGACCATGCAGAGGCCATGCAGGGCGTGGTCGTACAGCACGGGCCAGAGACTATCCGGGTCCACTTGATTCCAGTTGGAATCAAGTGCGATTGGCCGGCATTAGTCAAACTCGGCCAGATCAAGAGATCTTTCTATTGCGATGCCGTGCCGCATGGGAAGGGTATCTGCCACCTTTGCATGGCGAATACAGCCGCTTGCCCAGACTACAGCGGCGATGGCTGGAAGGAGACCATGCAGCACAGCGAGGCTTTCACAGCCCCCTGGGATGCTGTGCCTGCATTGGTTTCTCAGCTGTGCCCTGGTCTGGATGAGTGGCAGCAAGCAGCGTTTTATCGCCTGGATCTCTTTCATATCTGCCACAAGGGAGTGATGGCAGAGCTGGCAGGGTCTGGCCTCGCATCTGGGTTTGTATTTTGGGGTTTGTATCTTTGCTTAGCGCTTTGCCTCCTACAACCCTTAAGCCTTGAGCCTCATGTCTGCATGTCCTTAACAGCAAACCAAGCAAATCCTTTGTATATCTTATGCATGCATGCATGCATGCAGTATATAATCGCCTCTGCATGTTCGCATATGCATCATGAAAGCTTCTCAGCAAGGTGACCCTCTTGGACATGCGGCTTTACCCAGCTCGTGGGTCCTTTGAAGATCGGCTGGGACTGGTGTATGAGGACCTCAAGAGCTTCGCGAAGTCGGAGAAGCTGACACTGCAC